GAGCCAACACTTCAATAAAGGCCTATTCTGAGCCTAGAGATCAGTCTGAGGTGGAAGAGTAAGGTTTTCACAGGATTTTTTTGAGCATGCGTGTACCTGAACAGGTTCTTGGCCTTCTAAATGTCCCTGTAAATATGGCTGCTTCTGAATGTCCTAATTCTCCAAAGAATCTCAGCCTGGTTTCTTCTCTAGAGTTTAGTTGGCCTATTGTATGTTCTACCTATAAACTCTTGGCCCAGGTGCCTGCAGATCTGTCGTCACCTTGCACATTTTATGAGCAGTATCTGCCACTTTTTCACCTGAGTTGTGAATTAGACAAAACAAAGATGAGCACTTTGTGGCAATCCTTCATGCATTTACCAGGCAGGTTGAAACAGATGGGCACAGTAATTTTCAAATAAGGTCTGCTCTGCTTCCTCTAGTTGAAGGGAAGGAACTGGAAACCAGGCAGCTGCTATCTCAAACTGAAGACCACTGTCATGCCCGGGAGAGGCAGGAGGAGAGCAATTTAGAATGCCACAACATTTTTCTATTCTTTTAAGATGAGTTTTTCTTGATTGGGTGCTCACTTATTTGCTATAAACCTTTTATTGTTTTTCAGAGCTCTGAAAATATTGGTTTAGTTTCTGCATTTAAAAAAAAATTGTTTTTGAAGAACAAAAGTTTGGCAAGTCTTAGTCTACCATTTTGTTCTTTATATGCATTTTCATATTGCCAAATTGCTGAAAACCTTAGAAATATTGGTGGAATAGCCTAAACATTAAATCAAATAAAACAAAAATAAGTTATAATAGTTTGAAACGGTGTCCAGATTTGAAAATGAAATCAATAGATTTTACTCAGGCTCAACCTAAGCAATTTGAGACTGACAGGCTTCCCTGTTGACGTGCCTACATGTTTTTATTAAAGGGAACATCTATATTTCTGTAATTAAAGAGATTAGGGATAAAACAGACATGAGCAACTAAAGGTACATGAAGTTGATGGGAAGGTAAAGGCTTACTCATTTTTAGTTTTTTAAATGATTTCTAAGACTGTATCCAGCAACTTTTGCTTAGAGATTGTTTTCAGTAAATATTAGAGGCAGATTATGTGAAAGATAGCTGAAAGCTGTCCATTTCAGGAAATCAGGTTTATCTTCAGAAAAGACAAGGTGAACTTAATGCCAGCTGATACCACAGCAGAAGTTAGAGGTAATATCAATTTGGTGCTGGTTGTCAACTAATGGTGCTGGTTGTCAGCATGTCATGACAATAAGAGAAACTTCCTAGTACATCTGTATACAATAAACAGACAGATAGCTGTTTGATGCCATAGCCCAACCTGATAGTCTTTAAATTATGCTGCAGATCCAATGCTCAATCTCTCCCCACTTCCCCCTGGAATATTTCTCTCTTCTTTCTCTCTCTCTTTCTGACCTATGACTGGCTAGTATATATTTAACGGAAACCCACCTGCAGCTTTATCCCATTGACCTTTATAGGCCATCACGTTTAGGATGGTGTTCATCTGCCTTTCCCTTGAGTCTTCTCCAAGCCTGAGGGTAAATATGATATATTCCATGGTGGGCTGATGTAAAGGAGGAATAAAATAATCTGTAACAAAAGCTTAACACAGATCTAACACATAATTAATAGTGATTGTTACCAATGTTCTCCTTCCTCTTTTCTAATGTTCTAGTTTATCTCTCTTCCTACCAAAAACTGGTACCCAGAGCTGTACAAAATATTTCCAGTTTTGCCTCATCACTTTAGAGTCCAGTGGGAGCATTTCAGATATAATGCTTTGTTGACTCCCGAAAAAAATGGTACCATTTGTATAATTTCATCTGTCTGAAGACTTAGATTTTTGCTTCTAATTTAAGTCATAAGGCATTTTTCTCTTTTACCTATAGAAAAAAAGATAGACAAATAGATACACTCACTATTGCTAAGCCATATTTCCCCAATCTATTTTTCAGAATTTGGATTTCAAAATCCAAGTACAAGGCCTTACACTTTGAAATTTCCTCTTCTTAGATTTCATTCATTTTGGATATCAATTCAGCTACTGAATTTTTCATATCATTTAACTTCATGCATCGGAAAACTCAATGTTTCCTTTATCTTCCTATGTTATCTATAAAAATATTAACAGAGATAACTATGTCTAGAGAGTCCTGTGGCATGTCAAAATTACTCCCCCACCTAGAATCTGTCATTTAATGTGTATTTACACAACATCATGACATGAAAACAAAAGGTACATTTGTGACATTGTATAATTCGGTTTACAAACATTAACTCTTTCAAGCATTACAAAGATCTTGAAAATTAAACATCATTGTCCCTATTTGTCTCCTAAAGAAACTGAGTCACAGAGAGGTCCACGAATGTTCCGATGATCACTCAGATATCTCCCTTTTCTCTAATTCAGTGGGATTTGTTGCTAGGACCAAAATATCACTAAACATCAGATAATAAATAAAACAACCAATGAGGCTGCCCTTAAGAGAATCACTTTCCGTTTCTTAGTTTCCGCACTTTCAGTCTGGCATCATATTTTGAAATTATAAAAAATTCAAAGCAGTTTAACAGAATAGTCTGAAATCAAAGTGTAAATAATATCCTCATCTAATTAGAAATGCCTGTTGCAGTGTGTTCAGTTTTTCAGCATTTACCAAGATGACTTTCTGAGATTGTGTGATTTTGCAGAGTGAGTTTTGGAAACACCATCAAAGTTACTGGGTTTCCTCACTGATATATCATTGTAGGTGCATCAGAAGCACATCACACTCCATTGAATTTAAAACCCAATGATAATTTTACACATAAGAGTGTCAGAAGTGTCACACAGATATGATTTTTATCAATATTTAGTATTTTAGGAATAATTTTCAAATGATATTTGAGGGAGCCTGGGAAGGAGATGTGAGAAATTTAATATATTTTGACTCATGTCTTATTTCAGACATTGAGCCTCTTAGGAGATGAGTTAGTTATTTATCTACACATGCTTTTCTTCTCTTTTCATTAATTTAATTTAATTCCATTTATATGTAACCTGAGAGTAGCATTCCCCTGCAGTATGCCCACTCCATTTGTAAACTGAATTGAAGTCATCATGACTGCTTTAATGGCTGTGAAGGACTTAGAAATTAATAGCTCTCTCTTGAATTAGTAAATTATATTTTTCCAAAGAGAGAAAAGTGCCTCATAAAAATAAGTGACTAGAGTCACTTTTATTTTATTTTTATAACAAGTCTTTTTATGCTATAGTTTTAAATCCCATTTTACAATAACACCTTACAGTTATATCATACTTTATACTTTTCAAAGCACTACCACGCACATTGTCCTATTTTTATCTCCACAACAACCTTCAGACTGAAGTAGAGAAGATGTAGGAGAAGGCTTGTGCTGTAAACTGAAGAAGCAACACATTAAATGACTATTCACAAGTGAGTTCATGGGCCAAAGCTAGGCTTCCTGGCTGCTAGTACCAGAATATTCAGTGTTACTCTAGGCAGATAGAAAAAGGGCTAATGGAGAAAGAGTTTCTTTTGCTTTTTCCCAGATAATTTTTTTTTATTCATGCCAGAATCTACAAGTCTACAAAGTCTATGTTTCCCCAAATATATGATTATTCAATTCATCCACAAGTCTTTTTTTATTTTTTCAAAAATACAAGAATATTATTATTAGCTATAGTCACCATGTTGCACAATAGCTCTCTTGAACTTATTCCTTCTGTGTAATGAAAAATTTGTATCTTTTGACCATTATCTCTTTAACAAGAAAGACTTTCTTGCTAGGATGTTGATACAATGATTAAAAAATAACAATAATATACTGCCAAATGTAGAGTGTTCAGAATAATAAAGAATTGGAGGTAAATGTGTACATTTGTGGCAGAACTAAAGAAAATAATGTATACTTCACATTTTTAAATCTTTGTATGCATACACACACAAATATATATTTCTTTATATATATTTCTTAATAGTTTGAATAATGAAACAATCTTCCAATTTGAATAAGTAAGTCTAATTCAAAAAGTTAATTCTTCAGACTCTTTATTTTTAATTAATATTTTAGTTTTATTAGAAAAAAGAACAGAAAACCCTAATCTTATTGTTATCAGAAAACTTTTTAAAAATATATCCCTCCATTTTCATTAAACACTATATTTGCTGATTGTGTTGAACACCATATGCCATATATAGTTCTTCACACATATATGCTACTTTAAAATAACATAGTTCATTTATGTAGAGAGTTCACAAAATCTCACATACACGTAAATGAACTCCCAGTGATATTGCTGAGTTCAGTCACACAGAAACATATTTCGATGTTTTTGAGCACTTATTACGTCCCAGGCACCAGCCTAAGTAATCGGGTTAAAAGGACAAATAGTACACAGACTGCCTAGTCTCTGACCTTGGGAGGGAAACACTTTAGCCACTAACAAAAAGATAATATAGTATAAGGCAGTGTATACAATGCCATTGTGAGTACAAATAAGAAAATTATCAACTCTTCCTGAATGATTTGGAAGACATTGCAGAGGAGGGACTATTGAGTTTGAACTTCAGTAGGAGACTAACTGGAAGCTCTGGGAGCAGGCAATGTAGGTGTTTGAAAGAGTTGAGCAAAGGCAGAGATGCTGGAGCTCAAAAAGGAGAGTGAGAGAGGACTTGGGGTTGGTGTGTTCTTGATCTGGGTAATAATGGATCTGAAAGAAGAGTCGAGAAAATGCCATGTGTGTTAGAAAGTTATCAAACAAGAAAAAAAGCACCAAAGTTAAATTAAAATGGTGAAGTATTACCAATATGTTTTAAGACATTTCATATGTATAAAGAATAGAAACTAACTTAAACTGACATAAATCTCCTGACCTTTCTTTAAACACACACATGCACACACACACATGCACACATATATCCAGGTCACAAATTTTTCCTATGGGCCAAGTGCATGAAGTTGTTAGGAAAACTCACAAGCACCAAGGAAGAGTACCTGGGAGGCTCTCAGGAACTGGGAGATTCCTGTTCCTTTCTCTCTTAGGAGCATTTTGGATCTCTGTTTTTGCACTTATCTTCGTCTGCCTTGTTCACTTTCTTCACAGATTGTCTCCTTGACCACAGCAGATGATGAGTGCTCCACATTCCTGAGTTTGCATGTCCTCTCCATTTGAGTTCTGTGCAATCCAATTTTGTGATGAAACAATGTGACAGAACCAGGCTGGAACTGTCGAATAAAATAGTGACACATGGCAGGGCTGGCCAGGGCTGACCAGGTTGTCTTCTGAAAGCTCTTTAAGGGGCCTTAATGGGCTCAGCATGTGCTAGATTCTGTTGGTTATGAGCACAGATGTTGAATCTAAATTGTCTATGTTCAAATTCCAGCTTCAACTTGTCTCTTACATGGTCTTGGGCCATTTACTTAACCAGATATTATATACCACATCACCACCATTTTACTTGGATAAGACCACCAAGGCACAGAGAAACTCATTAAGCAATTCAGTGCATAAATGAGTCAGAACATGGGTTTGCAATCTGACCCTAGAACACAGGCTCTTAATTGATAAGTTATTCTAATTGTAAGGAAACACATTTAGATACTTTATTTTCTTTGCTAAGACATTTAAAAATATTTCTTTGCTATGCAACAAGGACTTTTACTCAGGCCAGAAATTAATGATAGAGCAGTGAAGGGAGAAAAAAAAAAGTTGGAAAAGAAAGTAGTTTGTGTTTACTTACCCACAAAAATATAATTTCTTTGAAAGGAAATGGTATAATAAAATTTTATTGCATCAGTTTAGATTTATTTAAAACATTTTTTCCAATACATATATTTGTTGTTCCAGATGGATCTCTTTGTGAAAAATAGCCTTTAATATATTTTGGCAAACAACTTGGACAGCAAATTCTTCCTAATTCTTTTACTCTCCTCAACTCCAGAAGACTAGCTCACTGTCAAATTCTGGATCACTCTGAAAAGATCTAGGCTGGTTTTATAATATTATTTATCTTTATTGCTGAAAACACAGCAGGTGAAGAAAAATGAAGACAATTTGGTAAATAATGGATGCAGAGATGACTTATTGTTTTTCTGCAATGAGAAATAAGCAGAGTTTATTATGTGACCTTTTTTCAAGTACCTGTCAAGAACTCAGAAGTAATAAAGCCTTACTTGCAAAGAGTGACTGATTAAAAAGAGATATACACTTAAAATGTTGCATCTTTTTATTGAGCTAATCTTTTATTTGTGTGTTCATAGAAATAATGATATTTATAATCCTCCCCTCAGAAAACCCGTGGCTGCCCCCCATATAATGCACACAAACTCTCCTACACTTGCTGATTACCTTTTCGGATATATTTCAGTGTAAAATGTATTAAAAATAAGATGTTTTATAACATATGCATGTGTTTTCTCCTTTATAGAAGGTCATTTTGGATTTTGATCATTCTTCCTCTTGCTTGCTTTGAAGGGAGAAAGATCTTTTGACTTGTAAGGATCTGTAGTGTGCAGCTCCAGGCTTTTATTTCTATGAATAAGTGAGATGTTACCAGCTTCTTTTCTAATACTAATTCTAGAATTTCACTTAATTAGAACATTTTGAAACTATAGGTATATAACTCAACACCTTATCATGTCCATGAATGTCATACAATATCACTGTAGTGCAGCTTCAGTAGTGCAGCATTAAACAAATTGGCATATTGAAAAGATTTTGTTTCTTTTGCCTTCACGGTGTTCTAAATTTTTAAGATTATTCACAAAGAAGACAAGATGATTTTTGTTTGAAAGGCATAAACATTTAACACATGTTTCCTTTGTGAAGCCAAGTTTTTATTAAGAATTTAAACGAAAGCTCTTTTTACAAGAACAGCTCTTATTTAAGAGCAGAAATGCCCTCTGAAATAAAAACAAAATTAATAAAATTAACGAAAACAGAAAAAATGTAACTCAAGTCACAATAGAAAAGTTTGCTTATTATAGCACATGGAAGGGGACTAGATAAAGAAATTTAGAACTGACTTTATAGAATACACTATCTAAAGAGTGTCTTTTCTGGTCTGTACTCTGCCCTGTAATTTGCAAGATGTTGAATTATCATCCTACACAAGAAAGAATGTATTTGGGTTCAGTGAATCAAATGATTGCTTGGCCAAACACACACGCACACTCACACACACACACTCTCTCTCTTTCACAAGGAACACATTTAAGTAATAGTATATTTTTTAGTTTCTGAAAACATCAGAAAGGAAAGAAAGATTTCCTTTGAATTTCACAAGCAATAGCGTTATAAACTTTTAATTTTACCAGCAAAGCTCACAAGATTAAAAAGAAATTAGGAAAATATGAGAAATACTTTAATAAAATATATCCTACCCCAGGTGTAGTTCTGTTTTGCTTTCATATTTTGATGCAATTGTTTGTCTTCAGGTTTTGAAAAGTTTTCTTAGAAATTGCATTTTTTAAAATTTGTTTAATACTAGGGATATAGCTCTGAGTGAACAGAAAAAAAAAAAGAAAAAAGAAAAAAAATCCAATTAATGAAACCATCTAGGTATAAGCTGTTAAATTATTTTTTTAAACAATGTATTTTCCATAGCTCTTTTTCCTCCTTAAAATTAGCAGGATTTGAAAACCTTACTCAGTTTCTTTAATAAGAGATAAATTGCCTTATATTCACTCAGAAGAAAGCTTACCTTGCACCTTATTCATAAACTGACTTGAAATGTGAAAGAAATAATTCTGCTAGGACATCCTGGCAGCAACTAAAAAACAAAACAAAATCTTCTTGTGTGCTCATGTATATTCCCCATTTTATACACAGTGCTCAGTTGTTTTTTATTGCTTCCAGAGGAAACAAGCAAAACATGTGTGTGTTTGCGCACGCACACACACACACGTGAGAGAGAGAAACAGAAAATGTGTACAAATGTGCATATGCTTGTCTTGTGTTCATACGGCATACTGGTAACTTACTTGGTTAGTCTGATGACTGACATGGTAGGAAAGTCATCTCGAACATAACCAGAGAACAAAGGAATTTACCCAAGCAAGCCGATGATCAGGGACACAAAGGCTTATCTCTTCTCCGGAAGTCTAATCACAGAGTAGATGGCTTTGTGATATATTTTAGACTTGATATTTTAGGATATTAGAGGTTCAAAGATTGAAAAAAAAAATGTTGAGTTTGCTGTTTTAAGTCTCCTACAGCAAAACAACAATGGAATCTATCAACAGCATTCCTCTTGAGCACTTTCCCTGGCACTGTTAGAGTAAGGCAAAATCAGGATTAACTAAAAATTTGTTGTCAATACATACTGTTCTTTTCTCTATTTCCTTCACCCATTTGTTTCTCTACAGCAGTCTTGAGATACACATACATACACACAAACACATTCTGACACCATAGAAATACGGGTAATTCATAGCCGTACAAGTTGTTTCTAAGTCTTTGCTTAATTCGCCCTTTAAAATTAAACTATGATGGGTGAAATAGATGCACAATTGCATTTATATCATTACTCATCTGTGCATTCAGCCCACAATAAGAACTGATTTTTAAAATAAAGAAGTTATAATTTAGAAACTTGCAAGTTTGATGTTAGAGCAAACGAAATGTGTCCTGCGCCTTTAATATGTAAATCTATTGAAATCCAGTCCTTGACATTGTGAGGGTCTCCATGCTTATTCCTTTATGACATTTCCAGACTGAAGGTGCAGGAGGGGGCTCACATTAATTTGCTTTATGTTTGACTAGAGAGGCTTCCCATAACTATTAGAGCTCACTTTGGGCCCACTTCATTTTAGAGTTGTTGTCAGTCATTTGAGAGTGATATGCCCTGTGGCTGGGAAGAATAAACACATCATATATTAGGTAAAGCTTTGATGTATGGGGGTTGCTGAATGCCAACACCTCTTTCTGAGGACCGGAAAAATCAGAATGTGGGAATGAGATTAGGATAGGAAGGAATATGACAGACAGGGGCCCCGCCAGCCTTCCTGGAACTTTCCAGCTCCGAATAAACTGAATGGGCGAAACCAGTATTTGTTTTGTTTTTGCTTTGCTGTGTTTTATGGTGGTTGTTCTGAAGAGCAGAATGAGATTCCAGCACATAGTGTTTGTTTCCCTTTCCATTATCAAACTTTGAAATTAAACAAAACATTTAAGAGCTGATATTATACATTGATCCAGAACATTTCAATCTCAACCACTGGTAACAACTGGCCAGAAATTGACTAAAGGTCGGCGTATAAATCCCCATATTTTGTCTTCTTATACTCCCAAGTGCCCCATTTTTACACATGTTAAAAAGTAGACTTTTAAAATTCAATACAAATTTGGTTTTAGAGCATGGGAAAATAATGGTCTGTCCCAGGAACTACAAATATTTTTTTCACTTCTTTGGGTTACAGAACAAATTTATGACTGACTAGTATATTTTCAAGTTGGGAAGTCAGTGAATTATAGCATTATTTAGTGAAAAGCTTCAAATTTCCAAAAAGGAAAGTTTTACCCAGAGGAATGTGTTTTATTTTTGCATGTGCTCAGCGTCAATTTGCTCTACCTCATCTGCACTTCATCTTGAAGCAACTGTGTGTTAGCCTGATTTGAACACAGGCATTTCCACTCATGATGCAACTGGTTTTCATGCTAGGCTACATGGTTCTTACTGAGAACTAATTATTTCCTATAGTTTTAATACTGTTCAGAGTCTTGAGAATCTCATTGAATGATGATGGGCATATATTACTACCTCACAGATTATATTAAACAGGCATATCTCACATTCTAATTGTATTGCCACTCTTTAGTCCTTGCACTGCGTCCTGCACATTCAGGAATGGTCTCCTCTCCTATTCTGTCATCTTGGTTAAAGAAAAAAACACGTTGCCCTCTTTCTTTTCCAGTGAATAAACCAAGAAAGTTCCATTTGTTAAAAAGGAAGAATCTGATTTAGAAAAACTACATATCAAAGTTAAAATATCAGATTTCTCTCCCCAAGGCCACACATTTGAGGCTTTGGAAGCAAATTGGCAACCCCAGGGGTCCATCCCTCTTCTCTGTTGTTTGTCTTAAACAATCCAACAGCATGAGGACAACAGGGCAAGTTAAATGTAATGAAAGTGGCTTTACTATATGTACGTATATAAGAAAAGAAATATACATGTATGTATTTCAAGCAAGGGGATACATATTTCTACTCATTTTAAATAACCCCAAAATAACAGTGAGCCACAATGATGAATGTATTTTAGCAGTTACGATAAAGAGTAAAACAGTTTCTGTCCTAGAAAAAAGAAAAAAAAAAATGATAGTAGAGAACCTATATTTGCATTTAATTTCTAATTTTCTTGCAAGTGGACCAAGACTAATGGTTTCTTATCAGAAGCCTAGAATCTTGACGCATCATGATTAATAAACAAATAAATATTACTCTTAATTTCCTTCTATGGGTCTCTCCAAGTTGGTTAGTTGGGGTTATCTTGAAATATCTGAAAGGGATAAGATTAAACTATATACCTCGAAATATATAATATGTAGGTACTTATTTTTATAGCATTTATAACAATGGTCAACATTTACCTATTGTTTAGGTTATACAATATGCACTTACGTATTGATAGCATTTATAACAATGGTTAACGTTTACCTATTGTTTAGATTATGCCAGTCATGCTGCTCTGCTAAGGACTTTTGCTGCATTTCATAGCCTTAACAACCTAGATGTAGTCACTTTTGGCAATATTCAGGTAGTCATTTAGTTTTGGAAAATTAGAAAAATAAAATAAAGATGTCCATGAATTGCTCTCCATACTGACATATTCTTATCAACATTGCCAATAAGGTTTTATCAGCCTCAGGCATGAGGCAAATCTATCTTATTAGTGTGAAAACTAATGAAAGATCATCCTGACAATGATAATTAATTGCAGTTGTTGACAAGGACTCAGTTCCTTTACACTCCTTTGCTGTTGCTCTTTCTCGGTCTTTCAGCTCTCTTCTCTCAATTAGACATATGAAAAGTGCGGCCCTCCCCTTGGAGAAAGAAGCTTTTAGATTAATCATATTATCTTAAGGTTCCAAATCTCCATGCCTGCGTGACCTTTCTTCCGTTGGAATCCATTATCTTAAACTATCACAATAATCCTGGCTTTAGGGAGGGAGAGAGGGAAAAGGAATCAAACCTAATAGATGGCAAATAAGATTAATCTATGATCTAAGTGCCGATTACACTTGGCCCTGCCCTTGAACACCCAGGTGTAACCTTGAAATTCACATCCGCTAAGACACAGCAATTGGATTGAGTGTCCCTCAAGGCCTTAAGGGCAGCTGGCCAAACTTTACCCATTACTCCCCAGCGAGATCGTGGGCTGTCTCAACCTCCAACTCTTTTTACTTGTGGAATTTGGCAGCTGTGCTTTTTCATGTTTGTTTTGGGATAGTTCACATTTTTTAGATAAAATACTTATTTTGGGTCCTTGATTTTTGTTTGTCAGAAGCACCAGGCCATGGAGGGAATGAACTTTTACCTGGACCTCACAAGAGGAAAACAAATGATCCAGCTCCTCAGAATCTGATAGCTCCACCAAAATAAATTCAGTCTTTGCTTCTTTCAAAACACTGACATACTGATCCTTAAAGCTACATATGTTTAAGAACAACCAAGGGGAGAAAAAAAAATTCCCCCTTGTAACATTTGTCTTCTGAACTTTGAGCTGATTATTTTTCTTCCACATGGCCCGAGGTCTTAGAAAGGACACCCTTTTGGTAAGATGGAACATGACATCGGGAAGTCCCAGCTACCGGTGACATAGACAGGAAAAAGGATTATATAGAGAAAACAGTTTCAGCCAAAGAGAAGTATCACTGGGTCAGATAGAGAGAAGGGAAGTAAAATAAAAATGCATTCTCATTAACAGTTGGCCCTGTCTGCAGAAATTCGAAGTTAACCAGAAAGAATGTTCTCTCATTATGCTTCTGTGTTGTTCAGATCTCTAAATGTATTGTAACCCTGGAAGATAGAATAAAATTAAGTCCCAAATAAGAGTAAGAAGGAAAGTTAGGTCTAAACAAGGAAGAAAATAAGCAGACTTTAAAACTATTAGAGGTAAAACTTGGTGGGTAGAAAATATGACCATGTATCCCCAAAAAGATAGCTAAATAAAAAATGCCAGGGATACCCTTTAGGGAACTCACACTCAAGCCATTCTTATCAGTGTTACACGTATCTTGGGAGTCTCTCTCTGGCATACTCCCAGGCACAAGTTCTATCTAAAAACAGAATGACTCTTGCGGTGTTCACTTTGTGAAGGTTTTCTCAACTGTCGTCTTAACAAAAATTAACACATAGTTAATTTTAGTTCATACTGAGATTTGTAGGACAATGACCTCAGACCCACAGTTTCTGAGCAATTATTCTATAATTTTTCTTGTTACTTTATAATTTAATTCCTAAAGTATTATAAATAAATTCAATCTTATAGTAATCTCTATTTCCTTTTTTTTCTCTTTTAAAAGTAAATCATTTGTTTTTTTGTCTTAATAAGTGTAATGAAGTAGGTATAGAAACACCATTTTTCAGAGACCACCCTTTGGAAACAATTTGGAAGCTCATTTGTCAAGAAGAAATGGCTGGTTACAAGTTCCTGGGTGAAACAAACTGCATGATCTAGAACTTGTCGCTTAACATGTCCGAGTTTTGATTTGCACAAATGTAAAAAGGAATATGGAAATAAGTCTATGTCAATCCACGGTTGAAGATTCAATCATTATATGTATAAAAGTGTCTGACAATAGCTGGCTGATTGGGTTGAATCCTAGCTCTGTTGCTTTTAACTGTGTGACCTTGGTTAAATTGCTCAACCACGTTGTATTTTAATTTCCTTATTTGAGAGTAGGAATTAACAGTATTTACCTTATAGTGTTTTGTTGGGGCTAATATGAGTTAAAAGAGATAAATTGCTTAGAAGATATTTAAGAAGTACTGTGCAACTGTTTGCCATTATTGTTATCCTTGTTGTCATTATTAGAGTCTCAGTAAAAGATACTCTTTTTTTTTTTTTTTTTTTTTTTTGCGGCGAACTCAAGAACACTGGAAAACAACAATACCTCTGGTTTCTTAGATTTTTGCAAGGATCACAGCTGAAAAAACAACAAAGAAATGAAGGATTCTGGAAGCTCTGGTAAAAACACAAAGGATTCTTCGAGGCTTCTTTTCTCTTGTGAGTTCGGACAGTGCCATTTTGACTGAGTGTGGGAGCCCTTGTCAGCTGTCCTGGGAGGGTTAACTCACACCTAGGCGGGAACCTAATGCCATTAAGTCAGGGAGAGTAATGAAATTTCATTTAATTTGTCAGGAAGAAAGTGCTAATGTTAAAAGGCATTTAATAAAAAAGGGAGAGATTCTTTGAAAGGGAGTCCTTAAGTAATTACTTCAAGTGTCTTATGCCTACTCACCAGAATATTTACATTAGTGTCTTACGGTGCCAGTGTGTAATTAAATTAGTGCAGCATTTACAGTCCCTGTTTTTTTTTTTTTTCTTTTAAGGAAATGTGCTTTTATTAATATTCCTCCTTTAAAAAAGAGAGAAAAAATAACGATGTAATCAAATTAAATGTTAGCGTACTTTTGTTTTTGAAAATTTCTTACTAAGAGAAATGCTGAGTTAAAGTTGCAGGTGTGTGCAAGTGTTGGGAAGAAGCGCTGATTCTAGGGCAGAGTGGCTGTGCTCCTTCCTCATCTCCACTCACAGAAATGCCATCTTTTATCTACTCAGACCTGACATGGAGATTCAGGTCAGCAGCCAGAGACTGTCAGCGTATTGCAGTGGATACCCCTGCCTAGTCCGGATTCTCTCTGCAACTTGTCTGCGAGGCAAGGAGGGATACAGATGTGCGAGTGAGGGGAAGTCCGCAGGAAGCCGGGTGAGGCAGGCTCATCCCTCATCACTCCGTGCGCACAGAGCAGCTCAGGCTCTCACCGGCAATAGCAAGAGGAGTTAACTAACGTGCTGGGAGTGGGGGACGGCCCATGGGACCACGACTGAATGCATTTGTACCTCTACAGGCAAGTCACATTGAGGAAAATGATTCTTAAACATTTCTTTGGAAGTAACTGCTGCTGTTTTCCAGATTAATTTATGAACATCCTAATGAATGAGTCTGTGCACTGATATCATACAAATGTTTTCCTTTTATCAGGTCTGTCTTCCAAGGGGTGTGGACAAGAGCATAGGCTGCTGATTGGAGACAAAATAAATAAGATATAGAAAAGAAAGTATAGATTTATCTCATACAAGGGATTTGAATATTAAGAGAGGTCAGGTTATCCGAAAAGTGTGTAAACTATAAAGTGTTAGTAATTCTAGCTACTATTACAACTGTAGCTGGAGAGATCTTACTAAATTTCAAATCTGATTGTATCACTATCCTTATTATCATTCAATGGTTTTCCATAGCCTCAGTGAAAGCCTGAACTTTGCAGTAAACCATGCATCACCTCTGCTAATTTCCAGAAGTCGCATCCTTCAGGAATCTGCTATTTTTCAAATTATCAGGTCTTCAGAATATAAGAATTCTCTTATCTCTTTGCACATGATTTTCCCTCTGTCTAGAGCTGAGCTGCCCAGTGCTTTAGCCACTAAGTTCTTGTGGCTATTTAAATTTAAATTTGAAAAAAAAAATAAAATGAATGAACATCATTTAGTTCCTCTCATGCATTAGGTACGTTTCAAGCCATCCATAGCTGTATGTGGCTGTGGCCACCATATTGGAAAGTGCAGCTATAGGCCATTCCTTTATTGCAGGGGTTTCGTTAAACACCTCAGGCTTATAGCCACCTTTTCTACCTTCTGACTTCATCTTTAATTTTTCAGCTTAGCTATCACTTCCACAAGGAAATCTTTTCTACCTCCATCTCACGCCTTCAATAAGAGTTAGGATGTCCTTTTTTAATATCCCACCCTATAAAAGTTGCCTATATGTTTATCTGAATTTTCTGATCTAAGATGAGGCCGATTTTCTGATCAGCTCATGAGGTCAGAGTCTTGTCTTCTGAATTGATCAGCATTATATTGTGCACTTGGAAAGCAAATAATAGTGAAACCATAATGGAGTGTTTATTAGGCACTATTCTAAGCACTTAATATGTATGATCTTACTGAATACATAAGTAAGTACTATTTATCTCCTTTAGTACATAACTGGCACTATTGTTATTCCAATATTGCAAACAAGGAATCTGAGGCACAGAGAGTTTAAACCACTTACAGACACCCAGAGGGAGATGGGAGGGTGGGGCTAGGCAGCTGAGGTCAACTTAGGCTCTGAACCTCCATGTCCTTGGCGTTCAAACAATTTTTGTTGAACAAATGTAGGAGTATCTATGAATAGGCAATAAAGTAGACAGTACTCACTCTTTTCTAACATCACTGTTTTATTAATTGTACTGATTTTCCCACCAGCCTGACTGTATAAAGTATCATTTTCTTTTAATAAGTGTTTTATGCTTTCTCTTTCAGTCCTCAACTGTAGGGTGATAACGAAGGTGTATTATACTCCCTCTACAAGTAAGAATCCTGATGTCTAGAGAGGGTAAGCAAGATAAAAGGCTAGTGGGCTGATACTATAAAGTCAAAGTAAGACATAGCTTTGGCAACTATTCAAGTGACATGATGCATATGGGCAATGAATCCAAGTCATCAACTTTGATTTTCTTTGGCATTAATGTCTTAGTTTTCTCACTGCTCAAGTCATATTAATTAGTAATATCATTTCTTTCTCATAACTGCATGTGTTGCTAATGTTATTTGTTAGAATGAAATAACTAGACATTGTTTTCAACAAATTAACATGTCTATAAATAGGTCCCCAATCAGACATTAAGCCTCATGACTATTGTATCAGTACAGCTGTTAGTAAATCAATAATGTGGTTTTGCCCATAGACTATTTTTAGTATTTCAGATTGAATGTTGATCCCACAAAGAAACAGACTTCTTTAAGGCAAATTTATTTAGTACAAAATTTTGGTTTAAGTGAGATTCTCATTACAGCTGAAGCTTAAGACTGTATCTTTCTGCAGGGTCTAAATACATTAGTAAATATGAAAATGGAGGGTTAACTGAATCTCTGTGGGACTATATTCCATCTTCTTGGAAAATCAAAGCATCAACATGGATGAGTTGGTGTTCTGGATTTGGTATACTCAAAGTAATAGCTGCCTGATGCTTTGAGGACTTAATATTGAGCAAGTGATAGTCTATGACCTTCACCTATATTGACCCCTGTATTCTTGGCAAGAAATCTATAAGGTTATCGTCTTTTTTATGCAGATGAGAAAGCTGAGGCCCAGCGCTGTAATAACTTCACCAAATCATAGTGCCAGGGAGTGACACACTGTGATTTGACCTTGTGTAATCTAGTTTCAGAGCCCATTTTCTTAACCACTATTCTTTATTGCCTCCTGATCAACAGGTCCAAACACACATGCATACATATATACAGGGCTTTAGAATCGTTTTTCTTAAAAAGTGAGAATTATAAAGAACTTTTTGTGTTTTATTGGAGGGTGCCCTCTAAAAGGAAAATGCCATTTGGATTGTCAACATAGATTTAAAAAGAGAAAAACTGCTAAATAGAAAACTACAAGAACGGATTTCTGGTATAATTGAGCTCTTCAATTTGATTGAGCAATTTAGCTAGTTAGATAAGACTATCAGTTAGATAAAGAAGACTATCAAGGAACAAATAGTTTATAATCTATTGTTTACTTTTATTTTCTTACTTTTCAGTATAATATCACTTTTTTCCAATGGTAGCAAAAAGTTTCAGTTGGTTTTTAGATAATTTTTCTAAGTTAGTGACACTTAATAGTGCACATTGGCCGGGCACGGTGGCTCACGCCTATAATCCCAGCACTTTGGGAGGCTGAGGTGGGCGGATCAAAAGGTCAGGAGACTGAGACTATCCTGGCTAACACAGTGAAACCCCATCTCTACTAAAAACACAAAAAATTAGCTAGGCGTGGTGGCTGTAGTCCCAGCTATTTGGGAGGCTGAGGCAGGAGAATCGCTTGAACCCGGGAGGCAGAGGTTGCAGTGAGCTGAGATCGTGCCACTGTACTCCAGCCTAGGTGACTGAGTGAGACTCTGTCTCAAAAAAAAAAAAAAAAAAAAAAAAGAAAGAAAAGAAAAAAATGCATATTCGTCTTTAAATAACCTTGTCTGGCTACTATCTAATATTGGTCCATATAAAGCTAAATATATCTTCTCTTTTCCAAAACCCAAAGGAGAGAAAAAGTAAAAATAAGGTAGCTTAAAAATACATTCACAGTTCTTTATTAGCAAGCACTTCAGTCAAACCCCAGGTGTAATTTTTCTCCTAATCACAAAGTGTCACTAATGACATTTTACAAATATATTGACTGTATTTTCTTGAGAGCGGCTTATAAAGTGGATACCATGGTTCATTCTGGTGTTTGGCCACCTTCCTTACTTAGCAGGATTGACTGGAGATCCGATCTGCCCAAGTCTGCTGTAATCTGTCCTTTAGAAGAGAGGGAATCAGAAAACCCGGATGCTACCAAAAATGTCAATTCCAGTGAAAAGAAAACACGTCCTGGCTTTTGAAGGCCCTGAAGTAGTTGAAAAAAGATGATGAGTGTTTTTGACTCTAAAGCTCATTCTAAGGTGGGGAAGAAAAAAAAAAAGCAGATCACTTTGCTTTTCCAAAGAATTTTTTTGAGAAATGTGGCATTCCACAGAAGAACACAAAACAGCTAAAGCTTTTAGATGGAATTAAAACAATTGCTGACATTATTTAGAGCTAAACTACAGGCAAGAAAAACATTGAATGACCCAAAATCATGTATGTGGCATTAAAAAATATATACATTGAAATGGGGAAAACAGATTCAGAAGAAATGATTTGTAAGGATGTGGTTAAAACTATTTATATACTGGGTTCTATTTGTTTTACAGCTAGTGGTGCACGGACAGCATGAAAGGTTATCTTTGACAAGGTTTTAGCTATTATTTTCTTCCAGTGAAATGGTATTTCTTGAGAAAAAAAGGTCTTTGGAACAAAATAACAATAAATCCTGATTTAGATACATAAACCTGCCATTGATATCACATAATATCAGTGTTCTTTCTCACTCGATACAGGCGTTTTAAAGATAAATGGTAAAACTGAACTGGAAATCCATCTGGCCGGCTGCCTGCTCTAATGAATAACCCCACTTTGGCTCGTGCAATGTAAGCAGAAAGTTCTCTCCCGGCCTCTTTCGTCTGTCATGAATCTACAAGACAGCCGACATAATATCTGGGCGACAACGGTGCGCTAACAGTGCAGTGACTTCCATTTTCTTTGCTTTCTATTGATTTTCACTTAATAACTGGCGAAATACTAAACGTCCGCCCTGAGTACCTAATAAATCCTGCCTGAGCTTTTTATTGAGGAGAATTTAATAAAAACAACCATTGCGGCTGAGGGATTTTTCTTCTGGACAGAACATAGGGGTAGGGGACAGCGAGGTTGGGGCAAGAGGAAGCCATTTGATTTTTTTTGTTTTTTCAAACAGGACTTCTTCCCTTTGGAAAGCAGTGTGGTGGCAGTGTCAAGAATGCCTGTGTGTTTGCAGCAGGTTCCTTCCAAAAGCAGCTGGAAGTGCCACCTCCAGGCCATCTGGCCAGTGTGAGGAAAAGAGGCTGCAAGGGCTTGGCAAGAAACAACTTTCTGCTCCTCTGGTATCCCCTGATAACTGATTTCAAGTTATGACCAAGGACTTCCTTATCGCTATCAGTGGCTGTCAAAAATTTGTAAGCATATTCATTTCCCTATTCAACTTAATTGGTATTTTGGATTTGACACTAGAAAAGCAAATTTGACTTGCCTGTTGGAGTCCAAGGGTATCTCCAACAGAATTCTAGACAATGAAAGAAAGGGTAAGTGTCTGAGGGGAGGGGGTACTTACAAGTTATTCCATTTAATGCTAATTTGAGCCTTCCAAATTCATTTTGGGGCAATCAAAGAGCAAAAGGTCTATGCATGGTTTTTTAAAACACAAAGAAAATTGGGAAGCCCATGCATAAACTTCTAGAACAATTTCTGTTGTTGATGCTTTAAAAAAAATCTTTTTCTTTTCTGTGATGTGATCTTTTAAACTCATAGCACAACTTATGGCTCCCTCTACTTCCTGTATTTTAATTGATCTTGAGGTTATTTTCAAGTCACTGGACTTAATGAACAAATATTTTAGAATTTCTTCCTTTACATACACTCATTCCTGTCTCAATAAAGTGTCTAATCAAGAATTCATATGTGTAGAAAATAAAAAATAGAAGTACATACCCTTAAAGTGAAGTTAGTTGTTTCTGTGATTTTATAAAATCCATGGACCTCAAGATTGAGTATCATTGTTATAAAAAACACAGTCACTCAAGCCATGCATGACACAATTACTCATTAACTGGGCAGCTTTTCCTACAGAACATGGGAATATGGGGACAGAGGGGTCATGTGATAATGATGCAGGCTTCATGTCATAGACCAGTATTGAAATCCTAGCTTTTCCTTCTCTGAAGTTGGGTTACTTTGTCCATGAAATGGGGATATTCTTGCCAAACTGGCATGATTGACATCATCTCACCAAAATCTCAACAAGCATATGGGTATCCAACAGATGTTGTTGATTTATTTTCACTGGAGTACTTTGATAATGAGAAGTAGTTAATCAACCAGGTTAGGGTTTGAAATTGACCAAATCTCAGAAATCACCCTGATGCGACTTAACTCTTCTCTGCCTCAGTTCCCTTATCTCTAAAATGGAGCTAATATCAAAGTTTTTGAAACCCTGAAAAGAATTAATGCACATTAAGTCCTTAAGAGAGTTCCTGATGTAAATTGTGGACCTGGGGTGACAAAGGTGTGTCAATGTAGGCTTATAAATTGTAACAAGGGGGAGGGGGCTGGGTGGAACAGGGGAGGTGGGGCAGCAGTCAGGGGGCAGGGGCTGTATGAGAAATCTCTGTACCTTCTACTCAATTTTGTTGTGAACCTAAAACTGTTCTAAAAAAATTAAGTCTATTTTGAAAAGTTTCCCTGCACGTAGAAATACTCCAAAAATGTTGGCTCTTATGATTTACAAATAGTGCTCAAAAATAACTGAAAGCAATTTGTGAATCTTTACAAAGAAGAACTTGACCGTTTATGTCATTCTGATGATGGGGCTTTCATTTAATTTAGATAGCAATGCCTTTTTGTTAACTTCGATTTTTCTTTTTGAGTATTATATCGTTTCTGTGCCCAATTCTTGCTGAAAGGGGAAATGGAAGTAAAAACCTTTAATATTTTCCTTTTTTCGATTATTTGATTTCTTCTCCTTTTCAGAGCAGTCTCTTTTACATTCTTGTGAAACCTCATCTGTTCTTCCCTGGGCAAAACGTGTTGTTTTCATTGTGTTAGATAGGCTAACACTGGAGAAAATTCAGCAGATCACAGTGCACATCCCCAAGTTGCAATGTGGGGATGGACAGTTCAGACGTGGAACTCTCAGGTATTTGCCGGACTGGTCCGTGTAAGACCTCTCATCGGTTCGCATAAAGGTGTATTGCTATTCAGATAATGTCTTCCCCTGCTCAACAAAAGGTTGTTGTACTGAGCTGTGATTGTGACAAATGATTTACTATTAGGAACATTCTGTAATTATTGTTCGGTGGGACCGCAGACCGATACATCATTAACATGATAGACGGCCTTTTATATCAGCAAAAATAACTAAATTAATAAAAATGGCTTCATTCCAATCCCTGTCAGAAAGCCAATACTCAGAACAATCAAGTAGCAGTGATACCTGAGAAAGCCATAGTTTATATCCCCCAACAAATCAGGTTTTATGCATAAGCAATAAAATATTTGTATATATAATCTCTGTAATATGGATCTGTATATTATAAGAGATTTTATGGAGATCAGCTCTAAACAAAAATATAGGATATATAAATATTTTCTTCCAAATGATTTAAATTTATGTTTTTATGCAATTGGATTGCAGTTTTAGAATATTAGAATTTGCCTTTGACATCTTTTCTTTCAAGATGTCTTAAGCATGGAGAAACATTTTAATGTAGAGTCTACAGACTAAAGTTTCTTTTTGCCTTTCTCTTGTTTTCTTCTCTTTTTCCTTTCTCCCTTCTTTCCATCCTTTCTTTCCTTCTTTCTTCTTTCTTTCAATCCTTTCCTCCTTTCTTTCTTTTCATCAATAAACCCCTAATTTATGCTTTAAATCCTTAGCCTCACATTTCTGACATTTCTACCCAGAATGAGAGGAAAGAAAGATCTATTCTGAGTACTCCGTTGAAACAGACTTATAGAAACGAAATGCAGGCTACAGGCATTCATACAAAACCTTTGAGGTCCTCCTAAGTAGAAATCACAATTACATTTCTAGGTTTTTTTGCACTTTAGTACTGAAAATAAATTTCAATTAAAAAATGGACCATTATAATAATGGAGACCTGCATGGAAATCTAAGACTAGGAGCTCTCAAGAAATCAGAGAAGGGATAAAACAGAACACAACTCTTTTCTATTATTTTCTTCCTTCCTTACTTTCTCTCTTTTAGTATATTTTTGTCTGCAATCTCATATCCAAAACTCTTGGGATGAGATGTGTCCTGTAATTCAGAACTGTTAGGATTTTGGAAGATATCTTGGCCACAAAGCCCAATACTATCTGCCATCACCAGGGGGTCTAGGGTGGCATCCATTAATATGTATGCAATGGCACATATGAATACACACTAACTGGGATAAATAAAGACTGCATCGTCCACATAGGTGTGGGTCACATTTTGCTACAAATGAAATCAATTTAGGTCAAAAATAAATGTTGTGTAGAGACTTTTAGATTAAGGAATTGCTACTGAACTGTTCAAACCAACTCTAAGAATCCTGTTAATTTAAATATAATCTAAATTCACCTTGAATCCATTCATTTTGAACATTTTTTTAAAGACTTTAATTTTTTAGAGCAGTTTTAGTCTTACAGTAAAATTGAGAGGAAGGAACAGAAATTTCTCATATACTTTTAAATTTTTATTTTGAGACAGGGTCTCGCTCTGTCACCCAGTCTGGAGTGCACTGGCACAATCTCAGCTTACTCTAACCTCCGCGTTCCAGGTTCAAGTAATTCTCCTGCCTCAGCCGCCTGAGTAGCTGGGATTACAGGTGTGAACCACCACACCCAGCTGATTTTTGTAGTTTTAGTAGAGACAAGGTTTCACCACATTGGCCAGGCTGGTCTCGAACTCCTGACCTCAGGTAATCCATCCATCTTGGCCTCCCAAAGTGCTGGGATTACAGGCATGAGCCACCACGCTGGGCCTCATATACCCTCACATTCTTACATGTAGTGCCGTCCTCCCAATTCCACCAGACAGGTGCCTTTGTTACAACTGATGAACCTACAGTGACACATCATCACCACCCGAAGTTCACAGTTTACGTTAGTGTTCATTCTTGGTGTACTTTCTGTGGATATTCCATTTCATTATACATTTGTCCGTTTGCACATTCTGACAGGGTTGTTCCACTCTTTTTTTTTTTTTTGAATAGGAGACAGGTGTCTTGCCATGTTGCTCAAGCTAGTCTGGAACCCCTGGGCTCAAGCCATCCTCCTGCCTCAGCCTCCCAAAGTGAGGGTATTACAGGTGTGAGCCACCATACCTGGCTTTTTCCACTCTTTGCAGGACCTTGAAAATAATAGAAATCACCACTTAATGGATACTCAATAAATACACTTTATTGGTTGAGTAACTGGTATTGTAACATCGTAGCCTTTTAGAAATGTGCTCCTGTGACTTCATACTTCTATAGAAGTTGGAAGGATCTAAATGCTTCAACCTCTGATAAACTTTATTCACTGATAAATTTATTCTCAGAAATGTTCATACTTTGTGGAAAAGGTATAAAAATAGTCTATAATTGTCTACATAGTAGATATTTTATTAAGTGAAGACATTATTTTCAAAGCCAGATTTCTATCTAAAATGATTTTGAAAAATGTTATCGTAGCTCAGTTCTTCCAATGCCATTGGCATAAATGAAATCAGTGTCAGTGGCTGGCTATAAACGGAAGAGTTGTACAGAATTGTAGCTCAAAGATGCTGAGATGATATGAAAAGTCATTTTAATTCTGAAACTAAAGAAAGGAAGAGTATTGTGCAAGGTGAGGGGAGGCATGCAGGTAAGGGATTCGGTGCAACCTTTCCCGGGTAGTCAGTGAGAGAATCATGCAATTGTTTTTATGGCTAAAGCTTGATTGAGACCTATTTTAAAACTCGTCTTTTCTGCTTTGGCCTTCTCTTAAAGGAAGACAAATGCCCTTGAAAAGGAGTCTTAAAAGTATGATTCACGGACTTGGGAAGAATTACAGGATGCAGACAGCCTAGAGTGGTGCCTCCTCCCCCCAAAGGAGTTCACATTTCCTTCCTCTTAATCTGAGTGAACCATTAAAAAGTTAGTCAGTTCCCTGGAGACTCTTCCCAAGGAATCTCCTAAAAGGAAATACCCTGTACTGGAAAGGTAATTTACCTAGACAGGATTTAAAAAGCTAAGTTCCTGTTCAGAGATAACCAGTGACTTTATATGGGCTGGTGTACTGCTCCTTTTAAGGATTCTCCCCTGAAGTTAGTTAACAAGTCAAAAAGGTAGGCAGAAGAACATCAAGAAAGAACACACTACCCTTGCACATTTTATTTATTTATTTTTATATGCAATTAAGTCCTCACACGGATAGTTTCACTACTGTTGCAATATCAAACTGTAAATATGCAATACATTGATTTTTTTTTTCCCTGAAAAATAGGCTCGTATTAAAACCAGGAACATTTTGTGTTCTATTCTGAGAATGTTTTTAATTATTTTAGCTAGTGGGAAAACTCTTTTCTTCGGGATAGGGATGTGGGAGGGGAACAAAAATCTGTGCTCTGGACCTCAGGGAGTGCTGCGGTAATTCAGTTTCTGAGGTCTTCAGGAAGCCGGGCTTAGGAGTTGATTCCCTTTTATGGCTAAATAACTCTTATGAATTTGTCTTTTCAAAGTCCACTGGAAACTGGAAAGCATGATTACAGAAAGCTGCAGCTGTGAATATTTGCAAAGCAGCTTGGTTTCCCATCTCTGTCAATTCCCTCTTCCCTGCCCCCCACCTCTAGCAACTAACATGTTAGCATCTTTTGCAGTAATACGATAGAACTGTCAAGAATGAATGAGGACTTTAGGCCGTATTAATTCCCATCAACAAACTAATGTCTAATGTTTTGTAGGCTACAGATAAGAAGTTGACCACTGCATTATATTTATCAATAATTTTTGCATTTTCTAGGGTTAGGTACATGGAAGGAATTTTTTTTCCTGATGGTCGTGAGAACGCTGTCAAGATTTTGTTGCTCAAATATGATCAGAACATGCATTTGTCGTTTGCACACTTTTTCTTGGAAGGAAATGGAGAGGAACTGTAAAGATGGAGAAACGCAGAAAAATCCAAACGCTGGAGTTGGAGTTGGCTTATATAGGGAAGCCTCTGCATATTGAAACAAATCAGGGAGACTGGGTCAGGCCAGGCAAGAGAGGACAGCACATTCTCATCTTTTACTCCTTCTGAAATTGGAAGTACAGGATTCTGAAATGCTGGTAGATTAAACGAGAACAACAAGCATCTTATTGCCTCAAGGAACTTAATGTTTTGCAGCCACAGGGCAGGATTCCGATATCATACTTTATTATCACAAACTAAAGTCAAGAAAGAAAGAAGTTTTGAGAATGCCTGGATTGGTATATTTTCAATAAATAATACAACTCTTACTGTGTGAAATGAAAGGCAGATCGTGGGAAAATGTATGATTCTATTTATAGTCAAATTTAAATTATCTGATTATAGGACAAAATTAGGAGAGACTTTAAACCTGCCCTTTTAGTGCCTAATTTGCCACTAAAAATAGTAAAACTACTCACATTTGATAAGCAATCTGTCTTGTTATTTGTTGTCCTATGAACTATGAAAAAGAACTAAGAAAAATTCCCTTCTTTCTTTTTCTTTTCATAAAACTCAATCCAGGGCCTGCATATTATATTCACATTTTTCTTGTGTGCTTCCTTTTGTATGTTTTGGCCACTCTGGTGGAATTTTCTATGATAAGAGGACCACCAATCCAGTATGCGTGGTGTGGGGTTGGCCCATTGAGTGGGCCTCACTGGGCCTCTGGGGAAGAGGGCCAGGAATTCACAGGGCTTGATTACCACCAGGACTTTTTCTGCTTTTAAGTTAACTATGTTCTTCCTGGTAAATCAACGCCTCGACTTTGGAGATTTAACATCAGCTCTGTGATTGAGCAGAAACTCTGAAAAGAAGATGTCCCAGCAATGCCTACCTGAACTTTCCCCAAGCTTGTTATAAGGAAAATAAGAAGGTGTCCCGAGAAAGGGAGTCATTGGATGTGGAACCACCAGGGTGACTTAAATATTATTAAACCAGCTTCCATGGTGACGTATGTAAACAAAAGTAAAAGCGTCTTTATACATACAAGATAAACATCATTTAGCTTTTCATTGTGTGTCCCTAACACTTGCATCTGTCTGCTGTGCATATTTTCTTTTTAAAAAAGCATAAAATTAAATTTACCAGGACTCATCCAATTGTGATTTCTCTATTTACTTCCTATGATCTAACACAATCTGGTAAATATTTATGGGACACATATACCATTAAAGTGACTGGGTTATATGTTGGTGAAATGAAGATAGAGTAGTTAATACTGGAGACTGGTCAAATGGCTCTGTTAGTATTCAAATTTTCTGTTCTTAATATGGTTGTTAGTATTTTGTTTTTGACAGGTTTGGTTTTATTACTGTGACCAATTTTTTATCTCTCCTTGTATGCATGACCTATGATGTGTGATTTTCACGTGTGACTTAAGGAGGTAACTATACAAACTTGTCCCTTGACTTAGGGTTACCCATATGACTTGCTGTGGCCAAAAGAATAAGGTGGAAGTGACAGCACATCCTAAGAGGCATTGCATGGTGTTGCTTTCTTTCTTATAATTGTGCTTAGCCACGAGCGCATACCTGGCCAGCACCGTTTGTCCCAAGGGGAAGACGAAGAACACAGAGAACACAATCAGCTGAGCCATCCCAGCCAAGCTTAGCTGTGATCAGCTATCTCCCAACTGATCTCCAGATGCATGAGTGATCATAAGCCCTAGCTGTCTAAAGCCACTGCCTTTTGTAATGGTTATATAGCAGTTACAATAAGATGTATTCCTCCATTCATTTATTAATTTTCAAACATCAGTTGGACACTTCCTAAGCCCCAAGTTCTTTGGCAGAGACCTGAGATACAAAGTGCAAATTTCCAGGGAAAACAGAAAAATGGAGCAGTAAATAAAATAGATGCGCAAAGTGCTGAGATAAAAGTGTGCCTTGGGTACTATGGTGAATCCTTAATAGGATGGTATAAGAGGCATTCTGGAAGAGGGATAATGCCACACAAAATTTTAAAGAGTGAATAGGGATTCAGAAGGCACTGACATTGGATTTTGAAGAGAAAAAGAGTAGAAGGGCATTCTAGGCAGAGAAAGCACGTAGCATTTGCAAATACCCTCATGCTGAGAAGGAGCCTGGTACTTTGAGGCCGCAGTAAGGAGTCTGACACAAGGAGGTACGATGCTTTGCATTTTTTTTTTTTTAAACTCAACATGGTACTTAACATAGCCGAGTCAAGTATGGTTAAGAGATGGCTTGGCAGTACTATTGGGCACTGTCTTAAGTGGAAACTAGAGACAATGTCTAAGAAAAGTCACCTTAGAGGTACCCAGCATCCTATGTGAATTCAGACCTAACTGCTTGAGAATGTCAAACTAAGGCAGGAAGTCTTTTGATTATTTGTGGTGTTTTTCTCTTCACTTCCTGCTTTGATCCTATAGCACAGGAACTAAAGTATTCTAAGGAAAACTACTTCCTTGGTATTTTTGGCGTGCCTCTTACCAGGAAATTGGTGGAAGTGTCAGGGGTACCCTTTTCAAGAGATTTCCACTTAAACCAAGGGTGGGGGTGGGGGGGTGCATCAACTCCCTAACCATTTAAGGCTTTAGTCATTTGTGGTTTGCATATTTTCTCCATCATAAAACTTTGTTGAGAAACAGTTAGGAAGTCCTTAAAGGTCCTATCATGACTTTATCTTAGCTGCCAAGTTATAACTCTGCCATTTATATGAAACTATTAAGTAGAGAGATCTAAAACATAAGTATGTTCCAATTGGAAAGAGGTTCTAAGGTAGATCACCTGGCGGTTTTCCCCTCATTTACCAAGTTGGAAGAAACTGCCCTAAGCCTAAAAAAAAAGATATATTGGTTCAAGGTCCCATTAATTATGGACAAAAATGGAACTATACCCCTGGTTCCCAAGCTGGGGTGCTTAGCACCACCCAGCTCATGGATTCTTGACTTTTTATGTAGCACACATTAAACCTAAACCATGGACAAAACTTAAATAGAGAAAAAAACAAAGTGTTTCAAATGTCTTAAAGCAAGAAATAACAAAAAAGAAAATGGCAATTGGAATCTTTAAGAACTGAAGGAATTTGCTTTTCAGGTATCAGGCTAGTTTTAGAATGGCAAAACAATTAGTAAGCTTGGCATGTAGGTGTATGAAGTAGGGAAAGACACGGAAGGGGAAGAAGAGGAAAGAAGACACTACATCTTTAAATTGAATTGAATGTTCTGTGACTTTAAATGAAAGCTCTTCTGTTGTTGGGCAAATAAATTTAAACCACTTAACATGGCAGAGAAGGTCAGGCAAGCTTATTATAGTGATCATAGCGTTACAGCTATTGCGATTGACCGCTGCTCTCTGGAATCACCAATAATCAGAGACCGCAAGCTGTGTTTGCAGAGAAAGGTCATCATTCATTTTTTTCAAAGCATTAATATCTTTTGTTTGTTTGGCTCAACATGAAACAGGAATCGATAGAGGTAATTCACAGAGCAATTAGCCCCTCATCTGTCAAACGGCATCTGGGTGTATTTAACAAAAAGACCTTTGGAAAGGTTTAAAAAGGAAGAAAGTGCCTGTATGATCAACAATTTATATTTTCTACATGACATGTTGTGTATGTATCTGTAAAAAGGGGGGCCTTGGGAGTAAGAAAATATACATAAAGCATGCTATAAATCTACACTTCAGTGTTATGATGTTGCAGTGTAGAGACAGACCCTAAAAAGCTCAGATTACATCCTCATCCCGTTCCCAGGAAGACAGCAAGCAAGTGGCATTTGGGGTCTTTGTATCATGTTTGAACACAGCCGTAGTACATAGACTTCCTGAAAAAAAGACTTCCAGGTAAAAACATATTGTGGACACTGTAACAAATTGGAGAGGGCCAAGCATCAGGAACACATGTTCCCTTTTGGCTTCAAAGCCTGTGATATTTGTGCTGGGCTAGACTGCTTCCAAGACAGGTCACAGCCTTGCTGTGCTGCCCGTCAGCTGGCTTGGGAAGAAGTCATTGATGGAGACATCTTTCTCACTGCTCACCGGTGGCCACACCACTCTTGTATTAACCCTCTCTCTACATCTAATTTGCCAACATTGGAATGAAAAGCAAAATGCAAAATTAAGTTAAAAGACATTTTGTACTCTCAAAAATGAACTGTGATCTGGGTCTGTTTTTCTTTACTGAATTTCAAATGTGTGTACTGTGGAATGAATGCAATACATATCAAATACGTGGACTTAAAAAAAAATCAGCCTAGAGACTTGTCTACACGTTTACACGAGTGCCGTTACTTTCAACAGGACCAGATGTATTTTTGAAATGTATTTTCTTTTCAATTCTGACTTTTTCTCCTCGTTTTTTTGGGTTTTTTTTTTTTTTTTTGCTTTTTTTGTTTTTTTTTTTTAACTTTTCTTTCTTTCTCTCCCCCTGTACTCCCACCCCAGCCTTCTGCCTTCCCTTTTATTTGAGTACTCTCCCAGGCCATAAAATGATGGCTAAAATGAAGTCATAAGATATAAAAGAAAGTGACAAAAGTTTTGCTTACCTTGTGACTTGTTTTTGGTTTTGAATTTAATTTTTTTTTTTCTTAATATCAGAGCATTCTAACAGGTTCCTTATCCATCTCTAGGACTCTTTCTGGATAGCTATGTCTTATCTGAAAATTATGTAATATAGTTAATTTAAAAAGCAAGCAGGCCAGGCACAGTGGCTCACGCCTGTAATCCCAGCACTTTGGGAGGCTGAGACAGGCAGATCACCTGAGGTCAGGAGTTCAAGATCAGCCTGGCCAACATGGCGAAATCCTGTCTCCACTAAAAATACAAAAATTAGGCCGGGTGTAGTGACTCACACCTGTAATTTCAGCACTTTGGGAGACCGAGGCGGGTGGATCACAAGGTCAGGAGATCGAGAGCATCCTGGCTAACACGGTGAAACCCAGTATCTACTAAAAATTAACAAAAAAATTAGCCAGGCATGGTGGTGGGCACCCGTAGTACCAGTTATTCAGTAGGCTGAGGGAGGAGAATGGTGTGAACCCAGGAGGCGGAGCTTGCAGTGAGCCGAGATTGCACCACTGCACTCCAGCCTGGGCGACAGAACGAGACTCCATCTCAAAAAAAAAAAAAAAAAAAATTAGCCAGGCATGGTGGCACATGCCTGTAGTCACAGCTACTTGGCAGGCTGAGGCAGGAGAATCACTTGGGAGATGGAGGCTGCAGTGAGCCGAGATCACGCCACTGCACTCCAGCCCGGGCAACTGAGAGTCTGTCTGAAAAAAAAAAAAAAAAAAAAGGCCAAAACAAACGAACAATAACAGCAGCAACAACAAAAAAAAACCAAGCAGCTACAATTAACTTTGAGTAGAGTCACACTGTGAAGAAAATATCAAAGCAAAAGACTGAAGAAAATCCTCAAGTAATGTTGTCTTAGAGTGGAGGGATTATGGAGGTTATTTTTGTTTCATTCCATTTCCCTATTTTCAAAATTTCCTTTTTTTCTTTCTTTTTTTTTTAGGTGAACTTTCAATGTTGTTGCCTAGGCTGGAGTGCAATGGCATGATCTCAGCTCATCACAACCTCCACTTCCTGGGTTCAAGCGATTCTCCTGCCTCAGCCTCCCTAGCGGCTGGAATTACAGGCATGTGCCATCACGCCTGGCTAATTTTGTATTTTTAGTAGAGACGGGGTTTCTCCATGTTTGTCAGGCTGGTCTGGAGCTCCCAACCTCAGGTCATCTGCCCACCTCGGCCTACCAAATTGCTGGGATTACAGGCATGAGCCACCATGCCCAGCCTCAAAATTTTCTGTAATAAACATATCACTCTTTAATTGGAAAAAATAAAACATTACTTAAAATTAATGCAGTAACACAAATAAGACAATCATGTTTTTGTACATGCATTGTATTTTATACTGACCCCAGATGACCACATTTTGCCTTTTTGTAAACACTGCCAAGCACTCTATAGAATTCTGTAGACATCTTAATAGAATTTTTCTGGACAAAATTAAAATCAGTTCTTAGAGCCTTATGAAATTGTACACAGGATGTAAAACTGAAGTTGAGGAGAATAGCAAGAAGTATTATAGCTCATGGTAAATCTAATTTTCTGAAATTATGACATTCTGTTTTAA